AGCTACATTGCATACCATTGGAGGAGCCCTGGTTTGTGCAATCGTTGCCTTATGTACCTTACGAACAAAGGTTGCTTGTATTTCTCTGAAATGTTTGTTTTGGACAGGTGAGTTCTCTTCTCAAACTGCTTATATGCTTTTCCTTCTTTTGGTGTCAAAGATTGGAACTGACAATTGATTCAAATTCTTTCTAATATGCACTTAGGGTAGGCTCCTTTGTCAGAAGGCAAATGACAGGCTCACCAAAAATGCAGCAACAACTGTCTTCAACTAACAATGTTTTTAATTATTATTTTATTTATCAAGTTTTGAGGCCGCCTGACTCCTTGATGACTCCAGGCAACTTACAGATAAAAAGACAATAAATATATAAAAGAACACTACTGACTAGAATAGTGTTTTTCAACCCTGGCAACTTTAAGATGTGTGGACTTTAACTCCCAGAATTCCCTAGCCAGCATGCTCCCAGAATTCTCCCCTGGCATGCTGGCTGGGGAATTATGGGAGTTGAAGTCCACACATCTTAAAATTGTCAAGGTTGAGAAACACTGGACCAGAAGAATGGAACACCAGTTATAAACCAACCATAACTAAAGGGGGTTCCACAATCACCCTGCCCCAAAGGCCTCTTCTTGTGTCTTTCCCCACATATAGAAGTATTAGCTCTTGAAAGTAAGGATAGTACATGTTCTCCAACTCCCCACAGTCAGGAACAACCTGCCTTTCTATCAGAATTTGCACTGTTAAGCATGCAAACTAGCATGCAAGCCTGAAGTGACAGCAATCCAAATAGAGAAGGAGCCCTTGATATTTTTAGTCTCCAAATATCAGCTAGATTAAACATTTACCTTTCAGTTATCCTCTATCCTTTAGTGCCTCCTGCAATCTGCTTCCTCAAATATATTAATATTAAAATGTGCCTTATGACAGTGCCAAAATCAGCGTGTGCTTTAACACCCCAGTGTTTACAGGATGGTCTAACATCAGTAGGTTAGCAGTCTCTCCCCACACCTCCAGAATTGCTAATGGTTATTTCAGTTGGGCACCTGTACTGATGAGAACTCCTGCTGGAACAGAGTTGTACTCCTAGTAGTCTAATGATCTTAGTTGACATCTAGGATTGTGCAAGGTTTCAGATTCCATTACTGAAATTTTTATTCGCTCCCTGCAGTTACATGAATGCTTAATCTATAGCACTGTATCTGTATTTTTCATATAAAGAGCTCATTTTCGTGGCTAAGACTTACAAGAGTTTGGACCACCCAGTTTTTTTAGCCTATGGAACATGTGTTTATCTTGAAAGAAAAATAATATATATATTTAACATAAATGTGTCTGTAGATTACTTTTTTCTTTTTGCAATAGCCACTCCTCTTTTCTTCTGAGAATCCAATGGAGAAGCAGCATGTAAACATCCTTTTTCACTTCACTGCACCCAAGCAATACCTAGGAAGGATTTGGTCTCGTGTGTGGAAAAGGCAGCTGATATTTTGAAGGAAAGGCTTTGTTAATGATTTTTATAAACAGTGCCCTCAGTGGCTAGTTATTGTACTTGGGAATCTGCTACTAATAAAAAGGTCTTGTTCGAGCGCCTGCAGGCTGTGGAAACCTGGAGGGGAGGAAGAGGCCAAGTTCAACCCTGACAAGACTGGGTGGCTGTGGGTTTTTGCATGTCCCCCAGGGCCAGGGATCTTTTATCTTTAGTCCTGAACTGGGTTGCACTTTCTTGTTCAGGCTGTGTGCACAGCTTAGGGGTTCTTCTTGGACTCACAGCTCCTGCTCAAGAAACAGGTGCCAGCTGTGGCTGAGAAGCCTTCACACAAATCCATCTTGTGCACCAGTTGCACCCCTCTCTGGACCAGGGGGCTTTTTAGAAAGCCACTCATGCTTTAGTCACATGAGCTGTTGCAATGTGCTGTACGTGGAGCTGCCACTCAGCTGCAGCTGGATCTGGATGCAGTAGCATATGGGCAATTATGGGCATGCCATGTCTTGCTCACATAACACCTTTGCTCCACGAGCTGCACTGGTTATCGGTAGGTTTTCAGGTGCAGTTCAAGGTGTTGGTTATTACTTTTAAAGCCCTATGCTTAGGTCCAGGTTACCTGAGGGACTGTCTCATCCCCATTACACCAACCCGTCCCACTCAGTCAGGCAGAGAGGGCATGTTGTGGATCCTGTCAGCAAGGGAATGTTGGTTGGCGGGGCCCAGGAAGAGAGTCCTCTCTGCCTTTGCCCTCACCCTTTGGAATATTTCCCCCCCAGAGGTGTGGCAGGCCCCTACCCTCCCGGCTTTCTGAAAAGGTTTAATGCCAGAGCCAGTGGGCATGGGTGATATGGGCTCTCCCTGACCCTGGGAGTGATGAACCCCCTGATGATGCTCCCTGGAATTACCAACTCTGCATCCTCTTAGAACCTATTTATTTTTAGGATTGTTTTTATGTTGTATTTTAATTAATTTTATTAATTAATTAACCTGCCGAGAGTTGTTTCAGGGGTGGGGTGGGAACAAATTGGATGGAGGGAAGGAAGGAAGGAAGGAAGGAAGGAAGGAAGGAAGGAAGGAAGGAAGGAAGGAAGGAAGGAAGGAAGGAAGGAAGGAAGGAAGGAAGGAAGGAAGGAAGGAAGGAAGGAAGGAAGGAAGGAAGGAAGGAAGGAAGGAAGGAAGGAAGGAAGGAAGGAAGGAAGGAAGGAAGGAAGGAAGGAAGGAAGGAAGGAAGGAAGGAAGGAAGGAAGGAAGGAAGGAAGGAAGGAAGGAAGGAAGGAAGGAAGGAAGGAAGGAAGGAAGGAAGGAAGGAAGGAAGGAAGGAAGGAAGGAAGGAAGGAAGGAAGGAAGGAAGGAAGGAAGGAAGGATCTGGTTATCTGAAGGACTGTCTCTCCTCCATGGTTTCTGCCCAGCCAGTACAATTGGGCAGAGTGGGCATGTTCCAGACCCCTTCTGTTAATCATTGCCATCTGATGAGACCTAGGAAGCTTTCTCTGTTACAGAACCTGTCCTTTGGAATGCCATCCCCCTGTGATTAATCTCCCACTCCCATCCAATTATATTTTAAAGAGCATTCAAAACTTGACTCTTCCCCCAACCCTGGAGTTAGAGGGGGCAATGGCGTCTGTGTATTTTACTGTTCAGAATGATGGTTTCCTTCCAGGTGTTTTGCCATTTTTATTTGAGTTTTATTACTGTTGTTATGGTACCTTTCCCAGAGTTATAGAATTGGGCCATCTTAAATATTTACTTAAATAAATACCTTGTCTAACTGGACAGTAATGATCAAGTTATAGATTGATTAGAAAAAAGGCTCTGCTTTCAAGTCTTCAATGGATGTTCAGAATCAGCAGGTGATTTTTTTCCTGAAGTATGGATAATGGCCTCATTGGGGTTGCACATTCGGTTGCTGTTCAAACACAGGCACAGAGAATGGTGATATGTGACTTCATTTCATTCATTCCAAAATGTACAATATCAGTCACAAGAGGTGGCACTGCTAAATGCAGGGGAGGAGTAGCTTTGGAATTACTTTGTCTACAAACATTGGGACCTTAACTAGGTCAATACCAACTTCAGCTAAGCCAGAAGGCATGAAAGGACAATTAAATCAAGGATAAGGTGGTGGCTGGCCTCGTTGATGCAGCCAGAGCAGAGAGTAGATGCTTTCCTTCCCATCTCCTACTGGACATAAGTTTGGTGTGGATGTAGGTTAATCCATGGAGGACCCTGATGAGCAGAGAAGTAGTGATGTATCGGGCTCAGCAAACCTGGG